CAAAGCCCAAACAGGGAAATAAATTAACCTTTCAGTCAGTAAAATTTCAGACACTATGCGCCGTTGGCATGGTAACGGATAACTTTATCACAGTAAAAACACATAAATACTTGCAAGTACGTTTTAGACACTGAATTGCACTAGGGTGGAAGACAAGCCCTCGTAAATGAATCGATTTCTTTATTTAATTATTCTAAGATTTAATTTAATTACTTTAAGAGACCAGACCTACTTTGGTTACCTTATCGATTACAGAGAATTCACATTTAATTTATGACAGCAGCTAGACGTGAGCACGTATAGTCCTTCCTCACGCCACAATATGACTGAATCTGTGTGCATACGAAGAGTCCCTATCGAGTCTCAAGGTTGTCAATGTTGCCAACTACGAAAGAATCCCAGTATTTATTTATTTGATCAGATTTATCATCTATGACTTTTATTGATCCTTTGGGCTATCATTGATTGCATTTGATATTATGCTCCAATCTTACGAAGAGTGGGTAATGATAACTACAGGTTGCACAATATGACAAAAGAATAGCATAGTCTATACCCTCCGTCGGGCGACTGGCAACGAAAACACTTGTTGGTTGGGCCACGTCGCACTGCCATATGGTTGAAAAAGATATTAATTAATATGATGACGATGTTATTGATTATTATCATTTTCATTATTGTTGAAAATAGGATGAGGTTGGTAAAAAGAATCAATAAATCTGATGATACTAATACTCTTACGAATGCCGATGCTGATAATAATGCTAATAATAGTAATAATAACAATAATAATAATGATGATAATGATAATAATAATAATTAAAACCAACAGTAATAACAATGATAATGATGAAACAGCAACATCTATATTGATAAAGATCATAATAATGATAATAATAACAATAGAATAATAATTTTACTTGTTTTTATTACCATTCCATAATTATATTTACGTTACAAGGGCTAATGTACATTAATGATTGCAGTTCATAATCTTTAACATAGTTATCACTATAATTACTACATTATTATTTCCATGACAATAAAAAAATCAACGTGGCAATTGCCTCAACAATTCCCAATATGAAAATGTAGTGTAGGAATAATAAAGACATAGTAGAAACAATGATAATACCAATAACAATGAACGAAACGATGGCATTAATACCCTTAACAGCATCACTATCATTACTATTCTCGTACCCACTTTCACTTTATTTTTTAACCCATTTATCTATATACATCTTTCCTTTTTCATTCTCTTAATCAGCACTCGCAGCTGTAACTTCAATATATGCTGTAATGAATCACCCTCTGTCTCATAACTATGTCGATGCTGGAATTCCCGCCAATAAATTGCGTCAGTCGCCGCATCCCTCTGCCTGCACTAACGAATCTCTTCCGACTGATAACGAGCTTAAAACATGAACCATTTCCTAAGACTTTTTTGTAATTACGTCCCTATTCCAACATCGTCAGCAATTACGGTGCCCACGGTGACTTTACGGATATTGCACGTTCATCAAAGGTTAAAGAGGAGCTACGTGTGACGCAGAGAAACGACGAATAACCTGCCATCGGGAAAAACCCGACCGGAACGTTTCAAGGGAGAACTGTTACCATGTGACGATGACTCATTCACAAAACAGAGCGTTGCTATCTCCGCTGACTTATTTTTTTCCACATTCTTTCTGTTCGATTTCTTTCTTTTTTCTTATTTACTATGGTGTTACTTTGATGGGCTTCAAAATTAGAAAGAAGCAAAGATGATAAAGTACAAAATGTATTCGGGGAAATACCACTAAAATCCGTGGCCGTAGATGTTTCCAAACAGTAATTTAAGCGTCCTTTTTAAATCATTCCTCAACACGTTAGATTATTAACATGTAAGAAAAACTTGATCGTGTAAGTCTAGACTTTAGTATGATTAGTATATTTAGTATGTCAAGCATTTGATAAGAAAGAAAAAAAAATATCTGACAACCATTTGCCTATCGTTGCGAAATTATTTTGTTGCCGATGCTCGTCTCGAATATTTGTTCCTTTCCTAGTTTTTTTTCGCCTCTGCCTTCTGTTTTGTGAATTTCTTATGTCAATTGTGATAAGAGCAATGATATTTTTCATGATAAAAAGTAATAATGATGATACTGACAGTAATAATTATGGTCAACATAATCATATTTATCAGTATCATCATCACCATAATCGTCATCATCATCTTTATCAGCTTTCTCAACAATAATGATATTATATCTCTTCTTTCAATAACAATTATATCAACAACAAAATAACTATAATAATGATAATTATGATAATGATAATAATGATAATGATAATATAATAATAATAGTAATAATAATCAGTATCGTATGATCATTATTATCGTCATCATAATCATTATGAATATCATCTTAATTCGTATCAATATAATCATCATTCAGAGTGAGAGAGAGAGAGAGGAGATAGATAGATAGAGAGAGAGATATGTAGATAGATAGAG